GAACTATTTTATTCAAAATAAAGAAAGAAAAGTATAATATGAAGGGCAAAAGGAACGTAAAAACAGAAAAGGAAAACGAAAAGATGAGAAAAGAAAAAAAGAAAAGATTACTAAATGAAAAATAAAAAAATAAAAAAGAGAAAAGAAACAAAAAAGAAAAAGAGGCAAAAAAGAGGAGAGAAAAAGAGACAACAAAAAGAAAAAAAATACAAAAAAGAAACAAAATGAAAAGACAAAAAAGATTTTTAAAAATCTTTTTGTAAGCAAAAAAAGGAACAAAAAAGACATAAAAGATTTTTAAAAATCTTTTTGTAAGCAAAAAAAGGAACAAAAAAGACAAAAAAGCAAGCCAAAACAAAAAGAAAACAAAAAGAATAAAAAAGGCAAAAAGAAACCAAAAAGAAAAAAAGAAAAAGAGGAAAAAGAAAAAAAAGAAAAAGGAAAAAATTTAACTTGAAGAAAAGGCAGTGGACTTTACTTGAGGGTTTCGCGGGAGGTTTTGATGGTTTTGCTGCAGAGGGCCTGGAGAAGGGTTTGAGGGTTTAGGGTTAGGAGTTTTGCTGCTTTGAGGAGGTAGGGTTTTGCTGCTGCTGCTGCTGCTGCTGCTTCGGAGTCGTTTTGCTGCGGCGTGAACTCCAGATTGCCCAGACACAGCACTGCAGCAGCAACGTTGCACACCTGCTGGATTTGCTGCTGCTGCAGCCCCAAAACCACCATTGCTGCTGCTGTTGCATCGAAGCAGCAGCAATCATCAACTCCTGTCAGTTCGCTGCAGCTGCTGCACGTCAGCACTTTGAAGTTCTCCCGACTTTCGAACTCCCGCATGTCCAGCTGCAGCACACTCTGCTGCTGCTGCTGCTGCTGCTGCTGCGGCGGGTGCTGGGGGGGGGCGTCGTCGAGGGGCGCAGTGCCGGTTGCTGCTGCTGCTGCTGCTGCTGCTGCTGCTGCGTTCAGCGTGTAGATACCCCCGCTGCGCTCTGCTGCTGCTGCTGCTGCAGCACAAAGCTGATAAAAAATGTGATAATTTCTTTCCCCTTCTTGCTGCTGACAAACCCGGACCTTTTCCAACAAATATGTTTGAATTCGCGCGCCGCACAGACTGCATTTAACACCCCCTAAACCCTGAACCCTAAACCCTAAACCCTAAACCCTAAACCCTAATGCCTAAATACTAGATTTGGAGCCGTGAATTAACAAGATCAGCGGGTTCGGTGCGCATGGAACTTGGTCGATCTTTTAACTGTCCTTTTTGAATCGTCTCATTTTAAGGGTTTAGGGTTTAGGGTTTAGGGTTTAGGGTTTGGGGTTTGGGGAGTTAGAAGCTGGTTTTTGGAGCGGAAAAAGGGTTTCTTTTTGGCGAACGAAACTGCAGAGTGTTGGGGAGTGGAGTTAATCACCGTCTGTTGTTAATTCCCTTTTTGGAACTTTTTCGAAATTGCAATTCGATGAATTTTCCAAAACGGGAAGAATTGTCATTTCGCAAAGTCCGCGCGTTTCCAAAGGCCTCCAGCAAAGGGTTCGACTCCAGCACTTGCGTCTCCACCTTCAGCAAGGCATTTTTCGAGCGTTCTCAAAATGTTTAAAAGCACTTCGAAGCATTTTAAAGCATTTTGGAACATTTAAAAGGACTTCTGACGGGATTAAAAGGACTAAAGGCAGCTAAAGAATCAAAGGGGATTTAAAAGCATTAAGAGGGATTTAAAAAGATTAAAAATGGATTGAAATGGATGTTTCAGAGGTTTTGGGGGTTGCAAAAGGACAAAAAAGGGAGAAAGAAACATTTCAAATGATTTTGAAAGATTTGAAGGATTTAAAAGCACTTAAAAGGATATTCGGAAAAATAAAAAGGGAAAAAACAAAAAAAAGCAAATTAAACCAAAAAAGATAAAATTAAAAGAATCAAACCCACTGAGGGACGTCCAGTGTCTGTACACCCGGCGGAAGCGCGGAACTTCAATACATACTTTGCAAACACAAATATTTTTGAAATATATAAAGATTTACAGGATTCAAACGAATATTATACATGATTAAAAGGATAAAAAGAATAAAAGTGGAACTAAATCAAACAAAAATGCAAAAGTTCAAACTCACTGTGGACCTTGCGGTGTCTGTACACCCGGCGGAAGCGAGGAACTTCATGACGTATTTTGTGCTTTCAGTTTTTCCAGCTCCAGATTCTCCACTAATTAAAATTGTTTGGTTTTGGCCTTTCAAGCAAAGGCCCTCGTAAGCTGCGCGGCTTGTCGCAAACACGTGCGGCTCCCTGCTGCTGCTGCTGCTGCTGCTGCTGCTGCTGCTGCTGGGGGGCGCGCCCTCGCTGTCCGAAGACGGCAAAAGGAAACGCTGCAGCGTCTGCGGAAGCAGCAAAACTACCCCGCAGCAGCTTCATGAGGGTTTAGGGTTTAGGGTTCACCTGAGGCCTTTACATGCCCTTGACGGTTTTAAAAAGGGTTTAGGGTTTAGGGTTTAGGGTGTGCGCTCCTGAGGGCTGTATAAAGCGCCCAGAGCTGCTTTTTTCGCGCCCAGCCCCCGCTCCCAGCCCCTAGGGTTTAGCCTTTAGGGTTTAGGGCTTAGGGTTTAGGGTTTATGGCTTACCTGGGGCCCGTACATGCCCTTGATGGTTTTGAAAGGGTTTACGGCAATGAGAATGGGCCCCGTGAAGGTGTAGATACAGTCGAGTTCAAATCGAATTGCTAAAGAGTCCAAAACCGCCGCCTCGTGCAAATGAGTTAAAGAAGTTAAGTCTTCGGGGGCGCACAAACCCCTCGCGCTCCACTCATCTGCACGCAAACCCTAAAGCCTAAACCCTAAACCCTAAACCCTAAACCCTAAACCCTAAAGCCTAGGCGCGGCGTCCAGAGGCTGGACGCGATAAAAGCAGCTCCGGGCGATTCATACAGCACTCAGAAGCTCGTACCCTAACCCCTAAACCCTAAACCCCTCGAGCTCCACTCATCTGCACACAAACCCTAAACCCTAAACCCTAAACCCTAAACCCCAAACCCTAGGGACTGCGCCCAGGGACTGGGCGAAAAAAGCAGCTTCGGGCGTTTCATAGAACACTCAAAAGCAAATAAAACCCTCGAAGTCCACTCAGTTGTGGGCAAACCCTAAACCCTAAACCCAAAACCCTAAACCCTACTTAAACCCTAAACCCTAAACCCTCGGTGGTGGGCTAGCTTCGTGCAAATGAGTTAAGTCCTCAGGAGCGCATAAACCCCTCCCAATCCACTCATCTGAAGACAGACCCTAAACCCTCAACCCTAAACCCTAAACCCCAACCCTAAACCCTAAACCCTAAACCCTAAACCCTAAACCCTGGACGTGAGCCCTAGACCCAAGACACTAGGCACTCGACAAAGGAGTCAGGGGCACACAAACCCTAAACCCTCCTGTCCCACCCGTATGTGTGCAAACCCCAAACCCTACACCCTAAACCCTAAACCCTAGCCTGCTGAGCTTTAGAGCCTCAGCCTGAACAAATTCCTTTCGCTGCACCCCTTAACTCCAAAACTAAAACCCTCGTCGATCTCTTCTGTCCGTAAACCCTAAACCCTAAACCCTAAACCCTAGACCCTAAATTTCAGGAGAAAGCCGTATCCACATATCTCCAAGTTTCAACACTTAAACCCTGAAGCCTAAACCCCAAACCCTAAACCCTAAACCCTAACCCCCAAAACCTAAACCCTCAACGCTGGCCCATAACCCGTAAACCCCAAACCCTAGCCCCCAAACCCCAGGCCCTAAACCCTAACCCCTAGTCCCTAACTACTTCACAAACCCTAGACCCTAAACGCTAACCCCCAAACCCTAAACCCTAAACCCCAGCCCCTTCCCACCCCACCCGCTCCTAGCCGCAAACCCAAAACCCTCAGCCAAACCCTAAACCCTCAGCCAAACCCTAAACCCTGACCCCCCATCCCGCACCCGCCCCAAACCCCAAACCCTAGACCCTAAACCCTAAACCCTTGCCTGTGTTGCAGAGGTAAAAAGGGTCTTTAGGACTCAAACAAATAACCCTATCTTCCTCTTCTGCTTTTGCATACACAAAACCCTTTTCATCTGCTGCTACAACTCGTGCTGCAGTCCAAACCCTTTCTTCAGAAGCAACATAAATTCTGCTGCCAACAGCACACCGAACTTCGTACCCTCCGGGGCCCCCGGGGGCCCCCGGGGC